TTAGTTTGGCTGTACTGCTCAGACAACTTGCAAAATAGTAAAACCAACATGACAAATGATATTTCTAAAAAAAATCGTGATATTATATTTTTGCCATATGGCCCACCCCTATCTCAGACAATAAATATCACACATCCCTAGTTTCAGTATTATTTTGAGGTATCCTGCAGCCCTAATCAAGCTATTTTAGACCGATTCAAAACTACCCATTGTGAAAACCACCTAAAGTATCTGACTAGATTTGTGAGGTTTGAATTTCCTTGTAGTCTTCATGTTCACTAAATATATTTTCCTTACATTCTTAGGTTGGAGAGAGCAAAGAAGCTTCAAGAACAGAAAGAAAAAGAGTTGTTGGAAAAACGGCAACAACAAGAGATAGCAGCAGGTAAGTAACTGGCACAGATCATCTGAGCTCAGCGCTACATCTCTCTGATATATGGCTGGTTTCCCAACAGAAGCAGCTCCACTCTTGTGCGATACGGCTGCGGCAGCACCCAGTCCTGGCCTGAACGTTGCAGCGCTGCTCGCGTCCGGCACACAGGTCACTCCTCAGATCGCAATGGCCGCTCAGATGGCGGCGCTTCAGGCCAAAACGCTGGCAGAGACGGGCATTGCTGTGCCAAGCTACTACAATCCCTCAGCGGTGAACCCAATGAAGTTTGCAGAGCAGGAGAAGAAGAGGAAAATGTTGTGGCAGGGGAAAAAAGAAGGGGTGAGGACTAGCAAGTCACTGATAATGTAATTAATATATGTTTGGATTAATTGTTCTTGAGTCTATAGCAGCCCATAGAACAGTTTATGGGAACGTTATGAAATTTGGCAGACTGATAGAGGATAGTCTGAACATTAACCAAAGCAAATCCTCTAGCGCCACCGACAGCTCAGCTGTGCATTTGTGTTTATTCAAAACGTGACACAAGCTAAACATGTTTCCCGATCACTTCTGGGCTCGTTCTGAGTTGGAAGCAACCCGTGACCAATTTTGCATCTTTTTACGCCATAAACAAAATTCTGGTCAAAATCCTGTGAACCCATCCTAGACGATTCATGCCATTTTGACCAAAACTGGCTCGGATCGTCTTCAGAACAAGCTTTTTGATAGACCACACTGTTTTTATAACTTTTGCACAGTCTGACCAAAAATCATAACACCAGAAAATTCATCTTTAGTGCTCATTTTGCCATTGATAAGTGATTTGCTTTTGCATAGAACTAGTTGCCTCTCATTCTAGTAACGGTGCTTTTGACATCCTTAAAATCTTAAGTGTGTTTTAAGATGTTCAGCATTAATATATGTGTTTGTGTTGTAGGACAAGTCACAAACAGCTGAGCTTTGGGAGAAGCTGAGTTTTGGTAATAAAGACCAAAATGTGAAATTTCGCAAACTTATGGGCATCAAAGTAAGAGTTCTCCTTTTCTACTTTTCATTCAAAATGCTCTTAATGTGTGAACTGGAGAAATTGCTCGGTTTAATATAGAAATAATTTTTTTATGTTGGTATTTATGTTATGTATGGTTTTTAGTGATTTTGTTAGTTCCATTTTTATTTTCAGTTAGTCATTTCAGTGCGTCAACGTTTTTGCTTGGTTTGCTTTTCATCAAGTATTTATATTTGATTGCAATCAACAAAGATGTTTGAATAGTTTTAGTTGTTGATGCTGATGACCCTGTTGTGTTCACCGTAGGATGAAGAAGAAGGTAGCTCATCAGGAGCTGCTAATGAAGAAGGACTCAAAACCTTGCAGCAGCAGGAAGAGATGTTCCGCAATCTGGATGTTCAGTATGAGATGGCCCGTTCACAGACACACACGCAGAGAGGAATGGGCCTTGGATTCTCCTCCTCGTTTTCCTCCAGGGGCATGGATGCTGTCTGAACATTCTGTGTTCGTGCTTCTCTTTTCTGTAAATTCTGGCCGACGTTGCCGCTGTAAAGCTGATTTGTACGTGCTTGTAGAGAATGCCGGTGCATTAGCTTGCATGTATGATTCGTCCGATCTGTCCTTGTATTCGTTTTGAAAATTCACCTGTAAATACAGTTGAGTGCTCAAGCATATACCGTTGCTTGGTCT